AGGCCAACCCAAGACGCCCCCACGGAGGGCACCCCCGCCCCGAAACCACACTCCAGTTCACTAGGGCCAGAGTCCACATGCCGGGCAACCTACCCCGTGACCAGCACCGCCCAGTTGGCCCTCAGAGTGGGCTTCTGCCCATGGAGACAGTGCCAGCAGAGTGGCTTAGAGGCACAGGTCAGCCCACTCAGAGAGGCAGCGTGGATGAGGCAGCCCTGCCACCTGAGAGTCCAGCTCCTCAGGACTGACAAGGCCACGTGGCAGTGAGCGCAGCTGGGTGATGACAACGGTCACCCCTAGAACTCCACCTTGGGGCACAGTGCTCTCACCTCCTGAGAAGACTCTCGGGCTGGCCAAGGTGCACAGGCTCAGTTGACATGGGTGAGGTGACTGCCCTCTGGGGTCCCACACAGCAGGGGACCCCAGCACCTCTCCAGTCACATGCCTTGGCTCCTCCTCCGAGCCCAACCCCACTCCATCCTGTCCTGGCCTTGAGTGTCCACACAAGGCCCGCTCGGCTGGTGAACCACGGGAGCATCCCATGGATGGATGGCAATGCCCACAGTCACTCCCATGAGGTAGAGGGCACCAGGCTTTGACACCGACCCCGCCAGGGGCTCCTCAGTCGCCCTGTGCCCATGAGGCCCTTGCAGAGGATCAGGGCACAGGCCGCAGTCCAGCTCTACAGCTGCACCAGACAGGCTACCCCACAGGTCTCCGCTCCCTCAGAGCAGCCCCGACCACAGGAGACGGAGCCAGGCTCGGCTACCAGGGTCCCCACTGCAGGTCGGGACAGCCCGGCCCTGGTTCTGGGAGCTCCCAGGGCCCAAGCCTGACTCCCCAAGCGCTGGGCTTGCTGGTTGGCTGCCAACAGGGTGGGCAAGCTGTATTCCAACCCACATGCCAGCCCCCCATCCAGCTCTGGGCTTGTCAGGCTGGGAGGTGCCTCTGCACCCCGGAATGCCCAAGGGACCGAGAGGGGGCAGTGGCAGGGCTGGGCAGAGCTTGAGTGGGCTGTGTGAGGGGCAGTGTGACCTTGGGCACCCTGGCACAAGCTCTCATCGGGCAGGGCTTCCTGGAGGTGGTCCACTGGGTCTCAGAGAGCGGGGAACTGGTGGTCCTGGTGATCTTACTGGGACCAAGGCCGGGTCTGGGGGACAAAGGTCATCCACCAGCGGCCCTGTCTCGCCCCTGAATGCCAGCCTTTGGGGCCCAAGGGGCCTAGGAGAGCAAAGCCAGCACCTGCCCTGTTGCCCCTGCCAGCCCATGGCCATCTGGGCCGCAGCCGGAGGCCTTGCCCTCCCTGCACCCCCTCCTTGTCACCTGGATGATGCCACCACCCTCCTGTTATCTCCTTCCCGTTAAGGGATCTCAAATAAGAACCCCGATAAGGTGGGACCAATACCTGCTCGGGCCCCTCTGCCGCCAACTCTGCCCAAGTAATTAAGATAAATGCAGCTGATAATGCACACGTTGCTCTTAAATTCGTCCTCTGGGCGTATCTGGGTGTAACTTTACCTGCAGGGGTTTATCCTAGGCCTCACTGGCCTGGATATCGGAGTTTTTAAGAAAGCAGTGTTTGAAGGAAAAGGACAGGGACGTCTATGGAATGAATGTCGGAGCAGACAAAGTGTGGGTCTGTCTCCCACAGCCCCAGGTCAGGGGCCAGGGCCGGGCAGAGGCGATGCCCACCTGGGCCATGAGGCTGCTGCCAGCTCATCACAAGTGCAGAGAAGGCACTGCCTGCTCCAGCCTCACCTCCACCAGACACGGCCACCCTGAGGGTCATCGAGGGCGGGCTCAGGGCTCTGGGCCGGAGGCTGGTGGGCAGCTGGGAACCCCAGCAGAGAATTGGCAGCACAGGCAGGGCCAGCACCCCAGACACCCCAGGAGCACCCCATGGTCGTCAGCCCTGCCTCTGATGTGCAGTGTGATCTCGGACAGGCCCGGACTGGCTCTGAGCCTTGGTTCCCATGGCTTCTGCCTGGCATCCAGGTTGGGGCAGGATCCGAGGGAGTGGCTGGACAGCTGGGCCAGGGCCCACAGATGACGCGCCCCCGGTCCTTTGCCACTTCCAAGACATCTGACTGTAGGACCTGGTCACACCACTGTCCTGGCCTGGGAACACCAGCCCCTCCCCAGCCTCCATCTCCCAGCCAGGAGCCCCCAGCGTGATGCCTGGGACCCTCCCCAAGGCCAGGCCACCATCCCCCAGGCCCTGCTCACTCCCTGCCTATCACACCTACCAGCCAGGGGAAGCAGTCAGGGACCATGAGCCAGCCTGGCCACACCCAAGCCCACTGTCCCGGGACACAGCCTGGGCTCAGAGCCCTGCTCTGGGCCTCAGCTTCCCATCGGACCATGGCTGTGGGCTCAGGACAAGCGGTCACACCTGTGGTGGGCCTGGCCCAGCCACTCCCCGACGACCACTGGAGCCCCACTCTGTGCCCAGCCACACTGACGGTCAGGGCTGGTAGGGGCCCTGGGCCTCTCGCCCACCCTCCTGCCCAAGGGGCCCTTGGTGGCCCAAGGTGGCCACCTTCTGGGTGGACTTCGGGCATCTCTGGGTGCTGGCCTGTGTGAAACGCCAGGTGTGTGTCTCCAGCCACCCCATGAGACTGGCCACTGTGCAGGCAGGGAACTGCCTTGGCTGGAGGGTCCCACAGCAAGGGACAACTGGAGGGCCAGGAAGACCCCTGCAGAACAGGGCCAGCCTGGTGAGGAGGCCAGGCCTCTGGGCTCAGCTCCTCTGCTGGGTGCCCCCCCTGGGGTCTTGAGTTACCTGGTGCTCACACCCCTGAGGGGCCACTTACTGTTTTTGAGGGAAAAGGATCCACTTCCACTCCTCCCTGGGGTAGCCAGGATCTGGGGTTGGACCTCCCCACTTCAAAGGGCCCTGGCTGCTGGAACCCACACCGACCCTGCGGCAGACACTGAGGGCTTTGCCAAGCGCCAGAGTGGGGCCGGAACCTGAGACCAGGCAAACGCCGTCCCCACGCTGCCACCACGGCCCCTGTACCCCTGGTTGGAGGGCAGCAGCTGGCAGGGGAGCCCAAGGTGCAGCAGACCAACAGCGGGCCTGCAGCCAGGGCAGGTTCCACGGACGACTGTGCCGGGCACGGGTCAGGCAGGCAGCCTCGGCCAAGCCACAGCCCACTCCGAGCCTGTCTCCTCTACTCACTCATCCACTGCTGCACCTGCTGAGCTGGAAGCCGTGAATCACCCTGTGTGTGCTCAGTGCCCAGCAGCATGCCTGGCATCAGACTTGGCATGGGTGCACTGGAGCCCCGGCCCCAGCCTGGAAGGCCGAGTGGCCTGTGCCGTGGGGTCTCTGTGGTGAGGGGTTGCACCGTGGGCAGCGGCCCAGCTGTGATCTCCTGGTGGGCAGGGACTGCAGTGACCCTGGGGCTGAGCAGGGGCTGCTCAGGAAAGAAGCCCCTCGAGTGGTCGCTCCACAAGGCACAGGTACCCCAGAGCATGGCCCAGCAGAGAGTGAGGGGCACTGCAGGGTCCATGCCCTCTCTGCCCCACCCCGTGCTCCCACCCAGCAGGGGCTGCCGGGCCTGGCTTCGTGCGAAGAGCGGGCCGACCGTGGGGCCGACCTTTCCATGTTGCCAGTGCCCTCGGCCTCCAGCCCGGCCTCTCACATGGGTGGGCTCAGGGAGGGTGGCGGGCAGTTCACGGGCACGAGCCTAACCCCAGCAAGGAGCAGAGTGGGACTGGCTGAGAGGAAGGCCCAGGAAGCTGGGGATGCAGGCCGGCGTGGGGCTCCCTGGCCCACCTTCCAGTCGCGTGGCTGCAGAGGGAAATGCCGTGTACAGTGAGCCTGAGGCCAGCAAAGGGCAGCCACAGCCCAGCCACCGCCCTCCCAGGTTCTGCCATCGCCAGCCTGCCCGCCTCCTGGGCCCAGGCTGGGGGTGCTGGTGGGGATCCCCGGCCCTAACTCGCTCCTCTCTTCCTTTCAGCCATGCGGCCCTGTTCCTGGACAGTCCCGCAGCAATCCCGCTGAGGCCCTGGCACCCCAGGTACGTGGGAAGAGACAGCGGGTCAGAGATGCCCGTCCCCAAGGCTCCCTGTCACCGGGGCTTCCAGCTGTGTCCCCGTGCAGCTGGCCAGCTCCTTCAGGTTGCTGCGGTGCCCCTCCTCCAGGGAGGCCTCCGAGACCCTCCTCTTCAGCCACCTGAACACAGGTGCAGGCCTAGGGCTGGCTGTCACCCTTGGAAAGAGGCTTCACGGAAGCCTGGCCTGCATAGGTATCTAGAGCTCCGTGACAGACGGGACAGGGAGCCCTTCCTGGAATGAGTCACCCCTTCCACCAGCAAGGAGGCCTTAGGCCTTCCAGGGGATACCTCACCCCAGGTCCTGGTGACAGTGACAGTCCTGCCCTCCCAAGCCACCAGGGGGAGAGAAAGTGCTTGGAAGCTCCGGGCACTCTGGCTGCCTTCAGCAGTACCACTTATTCAGTCAACAAACCTTACTCCTGAGTCCCTGCCCTAGGACTCCAGTTCTCTGCCTGGATGGGGAAGGGAAGGGAGCCAAACCCAGCTCACAGGAGCAGCACCCCCACTCAGGGCATCTTGGGGCTGCCGTGGTAGGGCGGCGGGCCCTCTGCTGGGCCTGCCAAGACCCACCCAGCAGGGATTCAGGGCCCAAACAGAGCAGAACTCCCCTCAGTGGGCACCCAGGGCCATACCCATCCCGGGAGCCCAAGTCTCCAGGCAGATGCCCAGATGCAGGCCAGACCCTTGGTAGTCCTTGGTCTCCATGGGAGCTCGAGGCCCTGGTCTGCTGCTGCATGGCCTCAGCAAGTCGCTGTGCTTCTCAGAACCAGGCCTCCCTGGGATCAGTGGCCCAGCCCAGCACCTGTGCTCGGGGTCCTGGCTCAGTCCACATGGAACACAGGAGACAGGGTGCCTCTGGTCCGGGGTGGGATGAGAGCTCCTGACGGATGGCCCAGGATAGCCCTGTGACCGGCCCTCCTGAGCATCAGAGGGGGACAGGGCTGCAGGGAGACAGAGAGGACACAGCCAGGCCCATACCCGGCACAGACGCCAGAAATGCAGCCCTGGACTGGGCTTTGCCCAGAGGAGGCCCCCAAAGGCGCCAGCTTTCCACCCTTGTGACCCAAGGCTCAGGTGCAAGTGCTGGGCTCTCAGCTCAGGGCTGTGGCCAGCGGTCACTGTCCTCACCAGGGGCCAGTGGTCTCCTCAGATCCCACACCTCTCCCTCCCACCACTCCCTCTCCCACCAGCACAACCTCTCTCCTCTGTCTCCAAAGTCCCCAGGGCACCTTCCCTGGGAGCCAGGTTGGGCTCTGCCCCAGCCACAGCAGCCCTGGACCCCACTCACTTGACCCTTTCCTTGCAGGCGCCACCCAGGACCATGAGTGCCGGCCTCCCTGGGGCCCCCTGAGGGGTGAGGATGGCCGCCCAGCCCACGCCCCACAGCCCCCCTCAGACTGCCACCTCCTAGCGCCCAGGACCTGGGGCCATGCCAGGCAAGCGGCCAAGTGGAGCACCACCCCCTGCCACCACCAGAGGTCTGCATCCCTGCCCAGGTGCAAGGGGCCTGCGGCGCCCCTCCCAGCCCCCTCACGAGGACCAGCCCCCCAGCAGTAGGACAGCCCAGGGCACCAGGGCAGCAGGCAGCCGAGCTCTGGCCGGGGAGCCCCCCACGGCGCAGTCAGGGCAGGCTCTGGAGGTGAAGCCCCAGGCAGAGCTCCTGAGGTCCCTGTCCTTTCGTGGCCCCCTGGGGAAGGGGGGTGGCCCTGACACCCCGCCTTCAAGGAGCCACCCAGGGGCCAAGGTGTGGCTGGCAGGCAGGGTGGACAGCAGCCCCCTGCAGCTCTACGGCCCAGGCACTGCCAGCCCAAGGACCACACCCACCCTGGATGGGACCCCCGAGAGCCGGCCTCACAAGCCCCAGGACTCCCAGGCAGAAGCCCACCGCAAGCCCAGCCTCCCTGGGGCTGATGCCCTGCCCACCCCGGAAGAGCTCCGCTCACAAAGGTGCTTCCAGGAGGCCCCCACCAGCTTTACCTCCAGCAATTATACCTCACCGAGTGCCACCCCGGGACCCGCTTGGGCCCCGCCGAGCAGCCCCCCAACACTGGCCTCCCTCCCAGAGCTGCAGGCCAACAGGGCCAGCTCTTGGCCTCCAGCTGCTGAAGACAACTTCCCAGGTGCTAATTTTGGGGTCCCCCCCACCAAGTCAGAGCCCTTCCCTGAGGGCAGCAGGCCTAGCCCCCGGGGGAGCCCCTTCCCATACCCCCTCCAGGCACAGGCCCCTCATGAAGATGCAGTTGGGCAGGCATATGCCAATGGAGCCCTGGCCTTTCCCTTCCACCAGCCCCCAGGAGGGTGGACAGAGGTGGCCATGGGCACTGGCCCCGCCTACCAATTGCCCCCCACACCCTCACCCCTGCCCTGCTACCCCAGCCAGCCAGGTGGCCTCGAGGCCTCTGGTGACTGTGCCCATGCCCTCTCCCCAGCTGGTGCTGCCCCCCTGACTCCAAGACCCTTCCCTGACAGTTTGCACAAGAGCCTGGCCAAAGTCCTTCCTGAGGGAACCCCTTCAGGCCATGAAGGGCTAGGGAGCTCCAGGGCACCCCCAAACCCTGGGTCCCAGAGGCACTTTCCAGGACAGGCATATGGAGCCAGTAAGGTGGGCAGCAGCTCAGGACCTGGGGATACCAAGCTGGCCACCCCCAGACCCCTGCCTGCTAGGCTGCCCCAGATGTGGGAGCCCACAGCAGCCGCCTACCCCGAGCCTACCCTGCACCCCCCACCTACTCCGGGTGCCACATTCTTTGACAGCCCTGGCCAGCAGCTCTGCCTGCCCCAGAGTCCCACAGTGCCATGGCCCTCAGCGCTCCCTAGCCCCAGGCCAAGCCCCGGTCACCTGGAAGTGCTGAGCCAGCTGCCATTCCCCAGGGGGACCACTGAGTGGCAGGAGGGCAGCCGGGGGGCTCTGGGTGCTGCCAGCCAGGCGCCCAGGCCTGGGGAGACAATGGTAGCCCTGAGAACCAGCCCATGCCAGCCAGGGAGCTCCCCAGGGCTGTTCCCCTACAGCGCGGTGAAGGACCCCGGGGCCCAGCCCCTGTTCTTTGGGGGTACCCAGCCCCAGGCATCCCCCCGGGGGGCCCCAGGCCTGCCCCTGTCCAGGGTGGTGGGGGTCTCCCCCAGCGGGTCGCCCCTGCCCTCTCCCGCCACCAACACAGCCAGCAGCAGCACCTGCTCCTCCCTGTCCCCACTGTCCAGCAGCCCGGCCAACCCCAGCTCTGAGGACAGCCAGCTCCCTGCCCCACTGGGGCCTTCTGGCTTCCTCCTTCCAGCCCCCCACCCTCAGGAGACTGAAAGCCCCTTTCAGCCCCCAGAACCCACCAGCACCGGCCCAGCCCACTTTCCGCTGCCCTCGGATGGGCTGGAGTCCGAGGGTGCCCTCGAGTTCCCAGGCAGTGAGGGCCACAGGGCAGGCAGGGATGGGCTGCGGAGTTTCCCCCAGGGCCCAGTTGCCTACACCGCCCACCACTTCCCGCTGAGCAGTGCCAGCCTGGACCAGCTGGATGTGCTACTGACCTGCAGGCAGTGTGACCGCAACTACAGCAGCCTGGCCGCCTTCCTTGAGCACCGGCAGTTCTGCGCCCTGCTGCTGGCCCGGCACGGGCCCCAGGAGCACCCGGCACCCAATGCCACCCCCAAGGCACCGGCCCCCACACACCCAGACTTGCTAGGCCACAGCCAGGCCATCCCCTTCCTGCTAGCCGGGGACCTACAGGCAGAGAGCAAAGAAGACACTCTGCGGACGAGCTTCCTGCCCAGCCTGGCCGCCCCACCCTTCCCGCTGCCCACCTCAGACCTAGACCTGGAGGACAATGCCAAGCTGGACAGCCTCATCACCGAGGCCCTCAATGGCATGCAGGACCCATCCGACAGCCCTGAGATCGACAGTAGCTTCATAGACGTCTTCGCTGATGAGGACCCTCCTGGCCCAAGGGGCCCTAGTGCCGGTCAACCCCTCAGCACCCCGGCAGGTGCCACCCAGGAACATCACGCCCAGCCCCTGCCCCCTGCTGGAGAGGCCACACCACAGCCCCAAACCCCCTGTCCTGGGGACAGGGCCACTGTTCCCTTGCTGGGCCCAACACCCCCGGAGGCTCCTGCACACCCCCTGGGGAGGCAGCCTAGGAGAGGGAAGCAGCTCAAAGGGTTCTGGAAAGAGCTGGATGCAGCCCGCAGCACCGAGGAACCCAGGAGGAGGGGCCATGGCCCCCAGCAGCCCCCACCCCATGCCCAGGACCTCAGAACCCAGGCCAAGGGCCACATGGATCCTGATGAGCGGGACCCCAGGGCCCTCTTCCTCCCTGAAGATGCGGGTACCACCAGGCGCCTGAGACTGCCCCCCAGGACGGACTTGAGGAAGCAGAGGGCACGGCGGGGCAGCAGCTGGAGCAAAGAGCTCATCCACAAGATCGTGCTGCAGAAGAACAAACCCTACAGGCCACAGGCACCCTCAAGGACCCCACGAGGCAGGGGTGACCTTGCCTCTGGGTCTGCGGGGGATCCCGGGCCAGGGCCTGGCCTCAGGGGCCGCTCTCACCGCGGCCGCCGGCAGCAGTGCCAGGGCAAGATGAAGGAAGACAGCCTGGGCCAGCCCGGGCCTGGGGCCGCCATCACCGCGGCCGCCGGCAGCAGTGCCAGGGCAAGATGAAGGAAGACAGCCTGGGCCGGTGCCCTGGCAGGGTGGTGAGGCCAGGGCCTGCTGAGTCCAGGGGCTCCCCAGCCCACAGCCTGGATGGAGACCCCAGGTGTACTGGTCACCCCAAGGACCTCCCACAGGTCCCAATGGACACCACAACCCCAGAGGAAAGCCACCTGCCCTTGGGCCTCTGCCAGGCATCCCCAAAACCTGAGACTGCTGACCCCACAAAACTCAGAAAGGTGCCCACTGGGGAGGGAGGACACCCCAAACCCCCCACTCCAGAGCCCCCACTGCCTGGCAGAGCTGGTGCCAGCAGACGTCCACCCTTGGGGAGACGCCGCAATGTGATGCCAAGGCACCAGGGCACTCCCAGCTGCAAGGGGCTCCCCAAGTGCCACGACAGAGAAGATGCCCCTGCTCGCCAGCCCACAGACTTCCAGACACCCGCTGCTAGTCCCACCAGGGAGTCCTGTCCTGAACCCGCCACCCCATTTTTTAAGAACTCTGATCCCAGTCGCAACCCCGCTCACTTTAACAGAGACCCTGTGGGGGTTTCTGCTGCCAAAAAGGGGCCCCAGCCCAACAGCAGTGCCCTCAACAAACTGTTCCTCAGGCCCAAGGACCTGGCTGTGGACACTCCACCGGCCAGCAGCTGCTACCTTGGCCAGGACCACGTGGATGCCCTCAAGCCCAAACCGGCAAAGAATCCACCCTACACAGCTGAGACCGACCCAGGCAGAGCCCAGTCACTGCTGACTTTGGAGTCCATGGCCCTCTTTGCAGGGCTGCCCGAGGACAGCTTGGACCCACCACTCTACGGCAGCCTGTCCCCACACAGGGCCACCCCCGAGCCACTGGCCTGTGCTGACCCTCTCCCAAGGAAACCTCTGACAGAACCACTGTTCTCCCCATTTCTGCTGCTGGAGGAAGTGTCACCAACACTGTCCAGCCAGTTTCCTGACGTCTCAGGGTCAAAGGCATTCCGCAAGAAATGTCCCCATGAAGAGACGGCTCCTCCCAGCCCTGCACCTGTGCCTGGGAGGAGGAGAAACGAACACAGTGCAGCTTTTATGAGCAGCCTGTCTGAGGATGAACTGGAAATCAAAAGATTGGTCTCTGAACTAGAGAGCCAACTGCAAAAGAGGGGGGGCACCCAGGAAGCCCCTGAGGACCCCAAGAAAGCTGCATGTGCAGCCTCCCTGATGCCTGGCTGCCAGGCCACCTCATCCCACAGCAGTGCAGCCCTGCCCAGTCCTGGGGAGTCAAGTCCACAGCAGGAAGACACGGGAACAGCTGTGTCCTCCGGGAAAGGGGCACTCCAGAGCCCCCAAGGGGACCAGCCCTGCCCAGCCACATGCCACCCAAGAAAAGCGGCCCCATGCCCAGGCCCCCTCAGAGACCTGGCTTCCGGGGCTCTGACAGCACAGAAGGGCAGAGGCTGCAAGGCCGAAGAAGACCCCGGGGCACCCCTGGGCGTGTGTCTGCCTGAACCCAGCAAGCAACCTGAGGCCCTGCTGGAGCCTGCAGGTTTGGCAGAGCATGACCCAAACTTATTTCCTAGAAGTGATGAGTTGATCAGGACACAGAAGAGCAAGGGAGCATGGGCACCAGAACCCCTGGGGGCAGGGGGGCCCTGCCCAGACCGCCCAGCCACCCCAGCACTGGACCAGGTGTTTCAGGGCAGTGGGGAGGCATCTCTGGATGCCATCCCAACCCCAGGTGCTGGGCACAGCCATGCCTCCAAGGAACCAGCTCCCGGGGGACCTGGGCCCCCTCCCACCCCGGCAGAGGGATCGGCCCTCCAACACTGGGAGGCTCCGTCCCACCATGGACCCTGCGTCAACACAGCCTCCAGCCCCTCGAGTCCACTCTGGGTCTTGGGGGCAAGAGCTGAGGACGATGGTAGCACCCAGGTCTGGCAGGGGCCTCCATCTGCTGCGGCCCAAAGCCCTCAGCACAGAGCACCCCCAGGTCTAGGAGGAGACAGAGCAACAGGGGGCTCCCCTGGGGGTGTGCAGGACATGGCCACCTCCACAGTGTCGGAGGCAGATGGACATCTGGGCTCCCCTGGCCAGGCTGAGAAACCCAAGGGCCAAAGCAAAGCCAGCCACTGTTTGCCTGAAGCCTGGAAGAGCACAGGGGCACCGGGCAATGGTGCCAAGGCCAACACCCTGCCCAGAAGGCATGGACCAGCCTGGGCCGCCACCAGGCCCCAGGGAGGCAGCACAGCCTTGGGCCCTCGGGAGCAGGTGCGGCCAACCTCTAGCCCTTGGCGCCTCTCAGGAATGGCAGCTCACGCCCAACAGGGGCCTGAGGACAGGATCCCAGGGGAGGTGACCAGCCTGGTGCCACCCACCAGGGACCTGGCACCCTGCACGGTCATAGCCACCCCCAACCCCTGTGGCCCAGAGCACACACCCCCGGAAGACCCCTGCTGCATGTCTCTGGGAGTGGCTGGCTGGGTCCAAGCCCCTGCAAGTGTGGGGGCCACAGGGACCCCCACCGATCCACCTTTGTCGACAAGCCTCTGTGGCCCTGAGGACATCACATCCCCTGCTCTCCTCGGGCCCAGCAGCCCTGAAGACTGGCCCGGCCTCAGAGACATTCCAACCCCCACCCAGGGCCAAGATGGCCTCAGCAGCAGCACATTAGCAACGCTAGAGGATATCAAAAGAGGGCCAGGGGGCTCTCCGGCCCCTGTCACCCCATCTTATCCAGAAGCATGCATGTCCCCAAGAAGGACCATCAAGGAACATGGGGAGAATTTCCTCTCAGAGTCTGACATAAAGGCAGTCAGGGAGCTCCAGGTGTGGGACCCCAGTATGTCCTGGGACCCCTCCTCACATGCTCCATGCCTTACCCGCTTCAAGACAGCCACACCCACAGATCACACCACAGCAGGGTCCACACGGCCAGGCCCCTCCCCCTGCCTGGAAAGGGAGGCGGGGCCTGTCAGTGAGAGACAGGAGGACACAGGGACATCTGGGGCTGGACATTCCAGGGTGACAAAAGTAGCTGGAGCTGGCCCCCAAGGCCTGACCACAGCTTGCTCTCCCCCAGATGCCTCTCCCAGCAACATAGCCAGCGACTCTGGGCCCAACTCTCCCCAAAGCCACATCAGGGTCCCTCACCATTTGGAGCCTCTCAGTCCCCAGGACCCCAAACAGCAACCCGATAGTTTGAAAAAGAAGCCAGAACCCACAGAGAGAAGGAAGGGCCAGGCCCCAGCTGGGCCACCTGTGCCCTGTGTCACCTGTGAGGTCTGCTCAGCCTCTTTCCGCTCAGGGCCTGGCCTGAGCCGGCACAAGTCCAGGAGGCACCGGCCGGACGGGTATGCCACCCTGGGGCACGGGACACCAAGGAAGAAGAGCCGCAGGGTGCCTGGCAGGGAGAGACCCAGCCACCCTGCAGGGCCAGCTCCCCCACAGGGCTCCACAACACCTGGGGGAACCCCAGTTCCCAAGACAGAGGAAGGGGCTGAAAGGGGCTCCAAGGCCCTAGGCTACCCCCTTAACCAGCAACTGCAGCCCCCAGGCCTCAGGGAGTCTGGGGAGGGGGCAAAGCCCAGACCAGACCTGCCGGGGGCAAGTGAGCTCCATCCTGGACAGACAAAGAGAAAAGGGCAGGAGCAAGACCAAGGGCCCAAGGACTCCCCTCGCACCACAGCCCCGAAACCACAGGCGCGAGAGGGAAAGACCCGAGCACAGAGGCCCCTGGAGGAGGACACCCCACCCCACTCTGCCTCTGCGACCACAGGCCAGTGTCACTCCCAGCCATCCATGTCAACTGCTGACTGCTCAGTGGAGGGACATCGAGGGGCAGATGGGGGCCTTGGGCCACTGGGAGATGCTGCGGCCAACACTGGCCTGGAGGTGCTGTGTGCAGAGAATACCACCACCCAGAAGTCCCCAGGTGGTGGGAGGAGCCCCAGGGGGAGGTCAGAGGCAGTGTACCCTGGGGAACTTCCAGAGGGGTGGAAGGGACCCACAGTGGCCAGGACATCTAGCAAGGACCCATCACATGCCTTTGTGGGAGAGGCTGTGGAGGACCACGGAGTGTCTGAGAGTGGGCCAAGTAACAGTGTCAGGGTGGGGACACTGGGCCTTCCTGGTTTGCCCGGTTCTGAAGTTGGCAGCACCATGCTCAGCTGCCCGCAAGGCCTCCCGGATGCCCCAGAAGCCAGGCGTGGGGATCCTGAAGCCCCCCTTGCTGGCTGCAGGGACCCTCTGAGCATGCTTGATGACATGTCCTTTGCCCAGCTCTTCCCTCCTGGTGGCCGCTTTGCCCGGAAGAAAAACCCCCGGGTCTACCAGAAGCGTTGTGGGAGGCTGCGGCGTGTGCCACCGACCGAGCCACTCAGCCAGGCTGGGGATGACCCTCCGTCCTTGGCCCGGCCGCCCACAGACCTCAGCGACTCGGGCTCCCTCTGCCTCTCCTGCGAGGACCTGCTGGGTAACCAGGCCACGGAGCTGCCCGAGTCCTGGCTGCTGGGTGGGCCGATGAACAGCAGCACTCCAGGCCTCGGCCTATGGGCCCTGGAGCCCAGCAAGGAAGCCAGCTGTGCAGACAAGGCACTGCCCTGTGACACTACGGGCGATCAGGTGAAAACCATCCCTGAGCTGCACAGGGTCCCTGCGGCCTGGCGAGGCCTGGGGCTACAGGTGCCCCCGAAAGAGGCATCCTCCCCTCCGGGAGATGTGAGCCCAGAGCCGCCCAACCTGGAGAGAGAGGGCTATGAGCAGGGGATGCTAGGAACCGCTGAAGACCTAGAGATGGTTGGGACCACACCGAAGGCACAGGACCTGTGCTTCACCGGCCCCTGTGATGACCTGGTGTGCCTCCCCAGCACCAGTGCCTTGGACCTCCGGGAGGAGGCAGCAGGGCCGTGCCAGGCCCCCGGCAGAGAGCAGCCGGCCCCTGGCAGAAGAGCCTCCTTCAAGTGCCGCGTGTGCTTCCGGCGCTTCCATGGACTGGGCGAGCTGGACCTGCACCGCTTGGCGCACAGCGCGGCGCCACCACCCACCTGCTACATGTGTGTGGAGCGCAAATTCGGCTCGCGCCAGCTGCTGCGCAAGCACCTGCAGGAGAAGCACGTGCAGGGCCAGGTGGGCCCGTGGGCCTGCGGCATGTGCCTGAAGGAGGTGGCAGACATCTGGATGTACAACCAGCACCTGCGCGAGCACGCCGCCCTCTTCGCGCGCAGGGGG